TTGGCTAAATGGTTTAAATGACAGAGATATGGCAATGCCAGGTGTTATTGAAACACTATTCTCCTCCCCTCTAACTGTAATAAAAAAAAGTTGTTTTCACCATGTCTTTTGCAATATGCTTTTTTTTAAGTATTCTTGGTAAATTGAACTAAATTAGAACATCACTAAAAATATTTTGTTGTTCCCTCACCCCTCCCCCTCGTTAGAAAATTGCTATGGGCACCCATAAAAGTGGTGTATCTTGGAAACTATAGTTCTATATGTTTTAGTTGTTTTTCCAGTTAGGTTTTTTGTGCCTAGTAAGATAATAAGTAGCTAAAAATATTAAAAGCAAAAAAAAAAAAATCTAGACGGGGGTGTTTTGAGATATATGACCCCTAAGTTTGAATATATAAATTAGGTGTGTTTTTAATTTTAAAGCATGTTCTGCTCATATTTCAGCATTCTAAGTGCATTTTTTGAATTCTGAATTAGAAAAGCATTATAAATGCTAATTTTCATATTTTTATTTTCATTATTTTTCATTTTATTAGAGCAAACGTTTTTTTAAAATGACACAGAAACCAGGTCATTTTGGGAAACCAGGTCTATATTAAAACCTTGATATCTTGTGAACGGCTGAACATTTTTGGCTAAAATTTTGCATGTGAACTTTTCAATATGAAATGCAACAGCTAAAGAAGTTTAAAGAAAATATGAGACCTATGGTTCAAAATCTTGAAAAATTTGGGTGATTTGATGTGGAGTTACCCCACAACCATCCAAAGGCCATCACTATAATTAATTGGCTGGAATAAAACAACCAAATTTTATCATTTCAGCACATAAAAAACCTTTTATGAATACATTTTATATATCATATATCATTGCAAATTTTAAATCCTAACTTCACTATTAATAATTGGCCATTATTTAATGGGAGAATAATTTTTATTATTTTTTGAGCTCACTTATTTTTTATAGTTTTTTAAGAGAAACTTATTTTCATGAAAAAATTTCTTTTTTTTTATTTAATATTAATAATAAATAATATATATGTGTATATATATTATATGTGTATAAATAATATCAATGTGTAGTTATTTCAAATTTTTCTTGCAGACATATGCATTTTTTAGAAATGTTATTATATAGAAGTGCTGTTGTAGGGATAGAATAATTCAAAATAAAATCATCAATATTTTCTATATTTCAATTCCAATATTTAAAAAAATCAAAATGGCTAAAATACAGTAGTGGTGTAGTGCTCATCACATAGTGAGAGATTCTAATTTCACTTACCACCACGTTTCTGGTAGTACTGCACTCAACTTGCTTCTTTGTGTAGTGGCCTTGTTTGTCAAGGTTCATGTTTTGGAGTTAGAGTTTTGGAGTTAGAGGGTTGTAACCACAATTAAAAGTAGCCTTCTCAATTGTAGTGGCTTTCATGGCCTTGGGAAGGTGAACTAACATTTAAAATAAATTAGTTTCTTGCTAAAATATGATTTTGTATGTATATATACGTATGCATGTCTGTATAGTTTATGTATGTATATTATGGTGTTTTAAAAAAATGATTTTTTAAAATTTCAACTAATATTGCTTTTCATATGGTGCCCCACGATTGATATTACTAAAAAAAAAAAATTTATCACATTTGGACTACATTATTGGTCCACGTATTTAGCCCAATGTTCCTTTTTAGGCCATTTTTGGCCCTTTTTTTCAGTCCCTATTTTATGTAACCATAATAGATTGTCTATTTCAATAAATGACGTTTAGTAGCAATTGTTATCTTTCAATAACGCTAGAGCATAAAAAATAACGTTTCAGTACAAATAATCAAAGAGAAACATTTTCGAAATTAGTTTTTTTCTTCTCTATTTTCCACTCTTAAACTTGTTAGCTACAAGGAAAGTGTCCTTGTAGGATTTATTTATCAGCTCCTAGTTAAAAATAAAAAATGCTTGTTGAAACCTTTATAATTTCTACAACAGTTTTAAATTTGAAAATTTTTCAAAAGAGTTTCACAACCTTCTCACTGCAAATATTACCTACTTTTTGACAAAATGTTTAAATAATCATTTTATGTCTCAATTGGGGTCTTTAACTAATGTAAGTCTGCCTTCCCATGGTTCAAGAGATAAAACACGAACCAATTCTGTTCATTTATCAGTGAAACCAAGCTAGGAGGATTATCCTGACAAAAATCCAGATTGTTCAGCAATTCAAAATCTACCTGCTGTCTGTGTAAAACATAATTCTCAGGCCTTGGCATGGAATACACCTTTTTGGCAATCTCGTAACAGTCATGGACCTCTTCATATAATATTACTTCTTCAATACTAAAAAGAATAATTTTTATTTGAACTTTATTACGTTTTGAATAACAAGAAAATAAAAATTACAGTAAAAAATCCTGAGAGGGAGCAATTGCTGGATTTTCCGCCCTGAGAAGCCATTCAATGTAAAACACTGCAGCAAAGAGGGTCATATCTTTGATTTCTTTCTTCTCATCGGCCTTAAGTTTGGAAATGTTATCTAACAGAAAGAAAATCTTAATAAAGTATATACCTTTTATTAACAACAGAGTATAACTTACAGGTCCAGATTTTCTAAGTCAGTGCTGCACATGTCCAGATAGCACCATTATTGTGAGTTCGGCTAACTCAAGATAATCACACCTGCATCTATTCTAAATATAAATTCTTTTTTTTATAATAAGTATTTATATTTAGTTAGTAATTAATCAATTTGAATTTACATTGAGTTTACATTGCGTTTTCACTTGCAATATTTAAAAAAAAAATTAATTTATAATTCAAAGTATTGACCTTCTTCATCTTTTTCATCTTTTTAATGTTTTCAGAGAACTCCAAAGCTTTCTTGAATTGATCCTGCAATCAGTTGTCAGTAATATCCTTAATCTTCATTCTGTTTAGTACAGTAGAATCATGATTCAAGGAGTTCCAAACAAGCTTAAGATTTTTAAAAATATGATTGTCTGGTCCACTTTTGTTACTGCTTGGATAGATGTTTCAACAGTGAACAATGTGTCTTTCATACACATGATGTCTGCATGCTAAGAGAAGTAGAGGCTTGTCAACCTCTGTAGCTAGTTTGATGCATACTTCTTTCTGTTTACCAGTGTTAGAATTAGTAGTATCAAAAAACATCTGTGAAACTTGTCAGTAATTTTAAATTGCTCAAGAAGTTCCATAATCACTGTTTTATGCTCCACTCTTGTACTTAAAATTTGGAGGTGGAATACCAAGTAGCTCTGTCTGTCCAATTACATGTCCAATTAATTATCCTAATTAATTCAGCACGTCTGTGATATTTCAAATCTTTCCCATCTGTGAACTCTTTAACAATCTTGCTATCAAAGTGTAGAATTATACACTGATGACTGCACATGAGTAGAAAATCGTTTTCTAATTTTCTCTCCTTCTTTGTTCAAAACCTCTACTACAGCTCTAAATGTTGCGCTAGACACATCAAAGTCTGGCACAGAACCTCCAGAGGTTGCAATGATACTGGACACAATTGCAATGTGCTGTCTAGCAGACTGTTCCTCTCCTATAGCAGTATATGCTGTTTTCTGTAGAATATTTTTTGGAAGTAGAATCAATGAGCCAGATTCTTTATATTTGTTTATATCTGCTTCAAAGTCAGAGTCAGAATTACTATCATTACTACATGCAGAGCTGTGTGATATGTTAAAATTATTTGCAGTGTCTGGCTAGTTTTCTTCACAAAAAATATTTCTGACACGCTTCTACTATATTTTATCTCTTTCTTTGGAGGCATTTTTATTTTATTTTTTTTACTATGTGAAAATATATATAAAATAAATATAGATATAAATATAGATATAAATATAGATATAAATATAGATAGATAAATAAATATACTGAAAATATAGTTATAATAAAATTGTTGAGCATCAAGTATTAAAAAAAACAACCTTATACGGTTACAATAAAGAGGGACAACCTTAACAACAAAATTTTTTAGACAATTCTGTAACTGCTTTAAACATTACATTCCGACTGTAAACACCAAAAACGCTGAAAAAGACCTAATTGGAGAGCAAAAAAATGCAAAAAATCAACATTTTTGAAAAATGTAGTTGTTTAATTGACCCATTATTCAAACTAATAAAGTGTAAGATTGGATTTTAATTTATTTTTTATGAATAAAATTGCGTAAAAAAATTTAATTTATCAAAATTATTGCGCGTACTAATAGGGTAGTCCAAATGTAATAATTTTTTTTTAGAAATACCAATGATGGGGCATCATATAAAAAGCAATGTTATTTGAAATTTTAAAATGTCATTTTTTGAAACACCCTAATGTACATACATGTATGCATGTATACATGTACATACATGTATCTATATATGTATACATGTACATACATGTATCATGTATACATGTACATACAAGTATCATGTATACATGTACATACATGTATCTATATATATATATATATATACATATATATATATATATATATATAGATACATGTATGTACATGTATCTATATATATATATATATATATATATATATATATATATATATATATATATATATATATATATACATATATATATATATATACATATATATATATATATATATATATATATATATATATATATATATATATATATATATATATATATAGATACATGTATGTACATGTATCTATATATATATATATATATATATATATATATATATATATATATATATATATATATATATATATATATATATATATATATATATATATATAGATACATGTATGTACATGTATCTATATATATATATATATATATATATATATATATATATAGATACATGTATGTACATGTATCTATATATATATATATATATATATATATATATATATATATATATATATATATATATATATATATATATATATATATATAAGTATAAGAATCTAATAAATAATAATAATCTTAGATAATGATTTTTATAAAAGTTACCTGGATTTCCATTTATTATTTTAAAATTTCGAATAAAACCTTGTTGCACCTCATTCCAAGAATTGGAAGCATAAACTTTAACATTTGAAAATTCTCTGGCATCAGAATTTTGTTCACTCCTAATCATTTCACCATTTAGTTCAGTTGAATACATGTACTTCCCTTCAATGAATATTTGTGATATTCTAACTGTAGACCAACTTTTATTATTAAGAGGATTTGTATTCTTACAATGACTAGTAGTGTTGTTTATGTCATAACAAATAAACAACTCTCCTGTTCCTTTTTCATGAAACCATACTCCTGGATTTCGATATCCATAATTAGAAGGGTTATCTCCAGTTGTAATTTGAATAATATTATGAAAACCATACAAAAAAACAGTTGGTAGTATTTCAAAATAAACTGAAAATTCTTTTTTAAGTTTTTTTATTGTTGCAACAATATTTCCTTTTGACAGCTTAGTCTCATCTTCCATTAAATAGACTTCTAAAACAAATTAAGTAATGAATTAAACTTTGTTTAATTTTTTTCTTAAAAGTAGTCTTAAAAGTGGTTATATTTTTCACTCAAATAAATATATTTCTTTTTAAAAAAACTTTTGTGAATATGTGAAATTTGTATCCTGCTCCTGATTATATTGAAATACTAAACTACTAGTGACTAATTTTCATACTGTAACTTATTACTAATTATGAAACATTAACTATTTTTTAATATAAGTACTATTTTAATTATAACTACATTTATAAATAGAAAACAAATTAAAATAATTGCAGCCCTCGGGATTAGGAAAAATAAGGTTGGCAATAATTTGCCAACCTTAATCTAGGTGAGGCTTGCATTAGGTCAGCAAAAAAAATCTACAACAAAGGTTTGACCATAAAACATAGAAACAAAGTCAATTATTTTCAGCCGACCTCAAACACTTCTACATCGGCAGTTACGTCAGCATTGCTGACGTAACTGCCGATGTAGAAGTGTTTGAAGTGTACTTTTTTACACATATGCACCATAAAAAAAATTTGTCAAGAAAGAAAAATATGATAATCAATTAGGCTTCTGGTTTTGTCAATAGAACATTTAAATATGTATTTTTCACAAAAATGCACCATATAAAAAATATATGTGAAGAAAGCATAAATATAAAATAGAATTGGTTGAGAGGTTGGTAAAAAGATTGGATGATAAAAGAATTGATAAAAGAAATGTTTGTAATTGATAAATGAAATAGCAAGAGAGCAACATGGCTTTGTTAGAATCAAATCCTGTATTACTTATCTGTTAGAAAGCCTTAATTACATTTCATCATTTCATCAAGATGTTGGTATTCCAGTTGATGTAACTTTTTTAGATACTGCCAAAGCCTTTGACACAAAAGGTTTCTAGTCAATCTGAAAGCATATGACTTTGATGGTCTGATTTTTGAATAGATTGAAGCTTTTCTAGGAAGCAGAAGACAGAGAGTTTTTTTAGGCAAAATGATTTCTGACTAGGATGATAAAAGAAAAACAATCTAGAGATTCTAGTGATTAAAATGATTAAAAAATAAATTATTAAAAGTAATGTTATAAAAGATGTAAAGGATGCAGTTGTTAAGTATGTAATACAACTGCTGAAGCTGCACAAGACTTCAAACATGCGGTAAAAATAGCCTTCAATAACTGTAACTTCTGTATAAATATATTAAATCAACAAATTAAGGGGTAAACAGACTCTATATATGCTGACCAGCCTCGCGCCCCTTTTTTATCTATTAGGCTGGCACAGATATATTTTTAATACTTTGTTTCCAGTTTAGGATGTTGAATGCTGGATCTTCTTGACTCAATCCATGGGTTTTGTATGTGGTTCTGTTTTTATGACATAAAAACTCATTCTAATATCTCCTAATGAGGGTACAGCTCTAAAAAAAAGTTTTATGGTTCTGGGGTGGGTAGTCAGGTTTCCCGAACACTGTGGTAGCTCTCAGAGAGGCTGATTCCATCAACAGCTGAAAAATATCAAAGTATTAACAGTGCTATGTTGTGAATGAATGGTGTCCCTGTTTGTACTTTTGGAGTGCATTGTCAAGGCCACATTTGGAGCCCTGTGTTACGGCTTAGGGTTTATTAAAAGTAATGAGGCTATTGCTTGGGTTATTAAACAGTGAACTGAGTACTGTCTATGCTTTGAGTCAAGTTCTTTAACAAATTTAAAAATTCGCTAAACCTATCATTCACTACTAATCATTGTCTTTGAAGTTTTTTTTTTTCTTCTGTTAAATCTTATCTCTTGCAAAGCTCACCAGTCCTATTTGCTCTTTATTTGAGTTCAGCTATCTAATCTTGTCATCTTAGTGTTGATGGTTATCTTCCTTTAATTCTTAAAGACTCATGGTTAACCTGGGCATTTACATTCGTAAGAATTCACCAATTTGTTGAGAAACTAGGTTTGAATCCACAGATTATTCTTTTACGTGCTTTCGTTTAGCACCACTTCACTCTAGCGTCTTTCTCTTTGTTCTAAATCGCTCTTCTTTATCACAAGACTTCTTTTTGATGTTATTTCTGATCAAATTGACTGAGTACTCTCTCTATCCATCAGCCAATAATGTTGTTGTTGGTGACTATAATGCTCATCACAATGAATGGCATGGCTTTAGAGTCAGTGACTCTGCAGGCTTTTAAGCCCACAACTTTTGCCTTTCTCAATCCCTAAATCAAATAGTGAACTTTCTAACTTGCTTTCCAGACAACCCGAATCAATTACCTTCTCTACTCAATTTATGTCTTATTTCTGATCCTAGTCACTGCTCAGTTTCTCTGCATTCACCCTTAGGTGCTTCTGATCAAGGTTTGATCTCTATAAAACTATTACCTCATTCTTCTTCATCATCTGGATCCCCCGATTGTTATAAATCTTACAACTACCTTTAAGCTGACTGGAACTCTTTCTGTGATTTTCTTCGAGATGGTCCTTGCGGTAAAAATCTTTTGTCTTCCTGCTGACAAATGTGCTTCTTACATACCTTCATGGATTCAAGCTGGCATGGGATCTTTTATTCCCTCTCAACAATTCCAAGTCAAGCCTTACTCTTCTCCATGGTTTTCCTCACATTGTGCTGTTGCAATTTCCAATCGAAACCGTTATTATCATGTCTATCAGCACAACAATCATCCAAAAAACAGACTTTTCACCTCACCTAAAGACAAAGCTGAAGTGTTTGCTAATAACTTTTCATCAATATTATCTCTTAATTCTACTTGTTGCATTCTACATGATTTAGCTGTGAAACAGGTTGATCTATTGCTTGACATCGTATCACTCCAGCTTCTGTATCTAAAGTGATTTCCTGCTTAGACTCTTTTACAGCTTGTGGTCCAGACAACATACCTGTTATAGTCTTGCAGAAGTGTTCTCCGGAGCTGTTGCCTATACTTTCAAAACTATTTAACAAGTGGTTATCAGAGTCTTGTTTTCCAGCCTGCTGGAAAGCAGCATCTGTTATCCCTATTTTTAAAAATTCTGGAGAGCGATCTGACTCATCTAACTACCGTCCCATTAGTCTTCTTCCTATCATAAGCAAGGTTTTTGAATCTTTAATTAACAAGCACTTAATCTCTTATCTTGAATCTAATAACTTACTTTCTGACCATCAATATGTATTTCAATCTTCTCGTTTTACAGCTGATTTGCTAACAGTAATAACCGATAGGTTTTATTGTGCATTAGATAAAGGTGGAGAGGTTAAGGCCATTGCCCTTGATATTTCTAAAGCTATGATATGATAAAGTTTGGCATGCCTGTCTTCTCCATAAGTTTTTTTCTTATGGTGTATCTGGGAACATCTTTAAGATTATTGAATCCTTTAATTCCAATCATAGTATAAAAGTTGTCCTCAAAGGACAACACTCTTTTTCATATCCTGTTACTTCAAGGGTTCCTCAAGGTTCAATCCTTGGCCCTATACTCTTCTTAATTTACATTAACGATTGTCTTACATCTAAAGTGGCATTGTTTGCTAATGATACTACCATTAATTCTTGTCATGATAAGAAGTCAATACTCTCTGATTGCTTGGATCTCAATTCTGCTACAGCATGGGGCTCACAGTGGCTGGTAAACTTAAATTCAGATAAAAAAATTTTTCAGCCAATCATTATTGCAATAATTTAGACCTTCCTATAATTATAAACAGTAATGTACTTGATGAGTCATCTACCCTTCATATTATAGGATTAACTTTTACTTTCGATCTTTCTTGGAAACCATATATCAAATCTGTTGCAAAATTAGCATCACCCAAGTTTGCATCTCTTTATCGAGTTCTACACTTCTTATTCCAGATTCTATTCTTTATCTCTATAAATCATCTACTAAAATGTCATCTAATAAAATTCATTCTCGTGTTACTTGTCATTCAATTAAGTTTCATCCTTTTTCTTCGACTGTTCCTATATTCTCCAAAAACTTTTATTCCTCTAGTTTTTTGTTTTGAAAATCAGTTCTTTGGAATTCGCTTCCTTCATCTAGCTTACTTGGTTCATATAGTTTGCAATCTTTCAAGTCGTCTGTCAACCGTTATCTTGCTCTACATTCTTTATCTTTTTTCTTCCAGTAACTTCCAACTCTAATAGTGGTTGTTTGCAACCTAGCTGAAAGCAATGTTAAAAAAAAAATGCACGACTATATTGTAATAGTTGAGTAGAGTAGTTTTGTATTTGTTATTTTATAATTGTTGTGTATAATAAAAGTTTAACGGTTGTAGTTCTAGTAAAACCTATATCATGATTGTTGTATAGTAATATAAGCTATGAATAAAATCTGAAAAAAATGTAGAGCATTTATGTTTTTTCAGTTGATTTTTTTTTAAAGTGTAGAAAATGAGCAGTTATCAAGTTTTGAAGATAAAACTACTAAAATTTTTGACTAAGTCCATTTTAATAAGAATGATTTTCAAACATTGAATAGAAGAAAAAAAATACAGAACACATACATCCGTTGCTATTTAAACTAGTGTGGTCTGGTTTTCTTACAGCAATCTTGAATGTTTAAATTTATGCTTTGGAGTTATAGAGTTGAGAGAGTTAGTCAAATGAGAGTTTAAAAAAATAAAAAAATCAAGAAATAAGAGGTTTAAAACAATATATTATAATATATACAAATAAAAGATGTCAACCTGTTTAAGTGTAGTAGCACTTGGGCTGTGAGGAGATTAATATATTTAAAAATATATAAACTTGTACCCATAACACTTTATTACTCAGCTTTTTATATAACTGCTGTGAAAATACTTAAAAACTTTACTGCCATATTCTACCAATTAAAATTATAAAGTAGCTAGTTAAAACTATTTTTTTTTATTTTAAAATTTTTTACTAAAGTTGATTATTGAACTCAATTTAAGCAAATGTTATACATTGTTTATTTAAACTCATATATTTAATCGTAAAAACATATTTACCTGAAAATTCCAATGACTCAGATTTAGAGGTGTAACACCGTTCCATAACATTTAAAACAATGCAGGTTCTCATTCTGTTTCTAAATCCATAAGTGTTATTACAGCTTGACCAATCATTCCATTGTGTCCAAAAGGCTAAAATAAAAAAAATAAACTTTGCTAACTAATGTTAGTTTAAATTAATAAGAAGTTTAACAGACACAAACTCAAACAAGAATCAGGCCTTCAAGGAATATCTCCAAGTTTAAGGAGAATTAAAAAAAATTTACACATATATTCATGTATTTTAGAAAACTTTGTTTTATGCTAATATCATGTTGAGTTTTAAATAATGTAAATTCAATGTAAAATATTTATTACCAATCATTATTTATCATGCAAGTGTTTTTGTTTTTAGTCTGGTTTTGTCACAATAAATATGACCATTTTCTAGGCTGTGGTCATAAAAAATATTAGACATTTGAATTATAAGTAGGCAAATTAGGTTTAACATTAGTATGTGAACATTAATTACTTGTGTACAAAAAGTATAAAAAAGTCATGAAACTTATACAAAAAACATTTGTAATTAAATGGCACACCAAAAAAAAGTTGTTTTAAATTTCACTAGAACTACACATCCAAAAAAAACTGAAGAATAGAGATTCACTAGATGTGATGAACAATAACCTAACTATATTATGAATGCACATTATGATAATTTCTTGTTTTTAATTAAATGTTTATCAACTCATAATGCAAGTTTATAATCATTTGATTGACCAGGTTTTTGAAATATACCAAATATACATATAAATTTAAGTAATTTTTTCAAAAAAAATATATTATTATGCAGAATAAAATGAATTAAGATAAAAATTGGAATGGTATCTAAGTTGCCATACTTAAATTTTTTCACAAAAATTAATTGCAAAAAAATAATTTTTCCATTAGCTTCAACACAATGTATTTTAATAAAATAAAATTTTTTTCAGACATTGAAAATTAAATTTAGTTGTAGTTTTGTTTGGTTTATATTTAATAATGGAGTCAAAAATGTAAATCACTTTGTCCATTTTAATATAAAGATTGATGTTAAAAATGATAATTAAAACATTTCACTTAATTTAATGAAAATGTATTTTTTTCATTTGTAGCCTTTTTAAGAGGAAAAGTATTCTTACTGTTGATGGAACATAGCAAACATATTTTGGATCATTTTTTGGAAAAATAAAACAAAAATGCTTTTTTGATAAATAGGTAACTATTTTGGTAAAGGTTATTTGCTATTTACAAAACCTTTTTTGATAAAAAAAAAAAAACAATAAAAAATTCTAAGTTATTAATTAAATAAAGCGCAAGGAAAAGTTTTTTACAAATTCAAAACTAAAGCTTTATTTTCCTGATATTTTCTTTCATCTGAAAAAACTTCAGGAGAAGGCACGTAAACAGAACAAAATTTGTTAATGCTAAATTTATGCAGAAGCATACAAGCTTATAAAAGCTATTATAAAAAAAAATGTACAAATTTTTTTTAAAAACTGAGTTATTAGCTACATAATAAATAAATGTTATTTTTTCATAATAATAAATAAATTTTTTGTTTTGCAATCAAATCTTACTTGTCTTAATTAAGAAAAAGAGAGCTAGATTTCAAATAGATTTCGAAATTCAAACACAGAAAAGTATTGTCATTCATGACAAATTTATTATCTTAGACAAAACAATACCTTCATTGGTATTAAAAATGCAAAAAATGTTTAAATTTTAAAATTCAATATTTAGTCTATTGAAAAAGCTGCTCTGTGTTTTGACTATAGATATTCAGATTTAACTTTTTGAAACACTAAAAGAACTTATAAGCAGATTAAATTTTCTCATACTTCTTTTGTCACCAAAAATTATTTTTTTAACTAATTTTACTAAGTTCTTTAAACTAAATCAATTCATTTAGTAAAAATTAAATTTTAAAACTATTAGATGTTAACATAATTCATAGTTGTTTTAATAGTTTAAAATGAAATAAAATAACTTGTTTTTATTACTACATTTTAATGGAGTTGAACTCAATACCTGAATTTTCTACAACAACAGCACGATTACCATAACACCAATCTATAGTATTTGAAACATTGCATTCCCTTGTTCTGTTAATCAATTCATAAGAACCATTAGAACTTGACCAAGTTCTCCATTGTGTCCATAACACTATTGTAAAAAAACAACCATTAGTAACTAATGTTATTATTACTTTGTTACTATTATTAGTCACAAAATAAAAATAATAATATTATTAACATTATTATTAAAATTATTTTTATATAATTTTTATTATTAATAATAAGTTTTATTAGATTTCTTAAAAGGAAGTGACAATAATTAACTGCAAAAGTATAAAGTGTCTGTTTACACTTTTTTGTTGCTTATTCAGTTTGTTTGTTTTTAATTTTTGTTATTTTGTTAT